CAACCCCCCGCGTTTCCTTGCCTCCCATCCACCGGACCCCGTCCTGCGCTTCACTTTGTTTAGGGAGGGGCTGCTCACTGCTCATTGCTCATTGCTCATCGCACACTGCTCAACGCTCATTGCCCTATATCCCACCCAGCCGCAGGACTCCACTGCCGCCCGCGCCCCGCCCCATCTGGCCGCTTGCGCGCCCCATCCCCCCTCGATGGGGCCCGCCCACACCGGGGCCTCCCCCCTCCCGCCCACTGCTTTCTCAACGGCCCCGAGCCGGGGCTGCCCTCATTGCATACATAGTGCGCCTTTCCCTGCTTTTCTAGTGACCTAGCGTTCCGCACTGCCGTTTGGCCAGCCCATGCTCCCGTACCGTTGCGTTTCTCCCCAATGCGCCATGCCACTTTGCCAGTCATACACACGTTTCGATGCGTGCCCTGTCAGCTGCTTGCGTTGCATGTCGCCTTGCTCCACCCCTGTTTTATTGCTTTCTCTGCTTTCGCCCGGTTCCCGTCCCGTTTCGGCGGGGAGTCTATGTTGCAAGCTAGTTCTTGCTTTACCAGACTTTAAGCCCACACAAGCAAGCATGAGGTGGGGAATGCACACCACCAGTCAGCCAGTCACTGCCCACCACTTGCATGCCCAGTTTGTGAACCAGCACCAGTCACTGCTCTCCCCACATGCCCACAAAGGCTGGGGCTCAATGTTTTCTGTGGGGGGGCATTTGTCCAAGGATGCTAAGCCCCTAAATCGGTGGACAGCTCCAACGGCACCCGCTTCTGTGCACACAGCCGATCTCAGCTCCCACGCCAAGCACAGGGCGGGGGGGCCACAACTTGGTGGCCAGGCCGAGTTTGGGGGCAAACCAAGTTGGTGAACTGCTCTTCTCGTCGAGGGGCGTCCACCCAGCACCGCAGAGGGCGGCTGAGAGAAGCCACACACGGTTCAAGGAGGGGGGTTTGGAGAATACTAGGGTCTATATACTAAACCCTAAAAACGCGGCCTGTCATAGCGGGGTGACTGTTACACATTTGCTGCAGCCTCTGCTGTCTGCTGCTGCACACAAATGCTGTGGGGGGGCAATTGTCCAAGGATGCCAAGCCCCTAAACCCTATATCAAGCGCCAATTTCTGCTGGTGATACGAGGCCCTCTGCAGCACATTACCCGAGGTGGCACTCATTAACGACGCCACTAGTCCGCCACTCCCTGTCTCCTCCCCAACCCTTTGAGAAGTCGGCATGGTTACATGGCAGGGGTGCTGACATCAGGAATCGAGAGAAGTACAGAAGAATGAAATGCAGGAGCGGCGCCGCCCATCAGCGGGGACAGAGCGCATGCACCACCACGCCGGCACCGTACTCGCTCACGCGCCAACGCAGCGGGCAATCAATGTGGGGTAGAGTACAGGCCCGCCCAAGGCCAGGGCAGGGCACACCAACGACGAACAACACAACAAGCGGGCAAACAAAGACAGCAATCAATCTCGCAGGCAAAACACGCAGTAGGACGAGCATACTCTGCTCAACGCTTGTGCAACGCGGCTCTACTTGAGTGCAGCATAGTACAGCTCAATGTAATCGTGCGCCGGCTTGTTCCAGCTCCAGTCCTGAAAAGCATGGGCAGGGAGGGTGCATGTCAAGTCAGTGTGCACACAACATGCCAGCTGGTTATCCTGCACTGTACCGTGCAGCCCCGCCAACTGGCCCACCTGCTCCATCACACGCTTCTGCAAGCCGTGGAACCACTGCCGGTCGTTGTAGTAGGCATCCATGGCGCGGTTCAGCGCATAGTCCAGTGCGTCGGGGTCGGTGCCCTGCACCCAGGCAGTTAGCAAACAGGCACCAGGCTTGAAAGGGAAGCGGGAACGGCAACAACGCGGCCAGCCGGAAGAACCAGAGGCCCTGTGTGGTGGACGGCGGCAGAGCGGCAGACAGCAAGCGGAGGCTCTAAGGCAGCTTACCTCGAAGCTGAATCCGTTGGTGGCGTCCACACGATCAGCCTGCCAGTCGGTGCTGCCCTCCATCTCCCATGCCGCCCGTGGCTTGTCGTTGTCCACATCAAACACTGCAAGAGGGCGAGGTGGGAGACGGGACGGCAGGGTGGTTAAGGGAAGGCAGCAAGGGAAGGCAGCAGGAGTACAGGATAAACAAGCTGCTCAAGTCGCACATGTCGCAGGGTTGGCAGTGCTGCCTCCTACTGCCTACTAGCACAGCAGCAGGTGCACCTGTATCTCGCAAGCCGCCAGTCTGGCGCACCACAGGAACGGCGCCATAGCGCATGGCAATCATCTGCGACGGCAGCGAGGGGAGGGCGGCAGCGAAATCAGGAAGGAGCGCCAGCCATTTGCATGCTCCCAATTCTGCTGCATTGCTGCAGGATGCACACGACCAGCAGGATGTCATCCTTCTCGCACCTGTGTGAGGCCACATGGCTCAAACATGGACGGCACCACAATGATGTCGCATGCTGCAGGCAGGCAGCGTGCGTTGCCGTAAGCGACAGCCACAGCAGCCCGGCAAAGGTAAAGGTAAAGGTAAAGGTGGGGAAGAGCCTCCACAAGCTTAACTTCCCGGTTTTAACGTCTAGCTTTAGACCAGACCGGCAGCAGCCGGCTGGAGTCTCATGGTGCAGCAGCACGCGTACCGGTGCGGCAGGCTACCCCAACAAGCAGGCTACCCCAAAAAGAGCCCTGCAGCAGATCAGCTGAGGCAGCGCAGCAGCAGCATGCGCACAGCACACACAGCACAGGCGCACCTGCATAGATGAGGTGGCTCAGCGGCTCGTCAAACGCAAAGCAGAACGCGGCGTCCTGGCCGCCAAACTGCAATGAAGGGAGGGGGGCATCCAGGCGCACATGAGCGCAGCTGCGGCGACAGCGACGGTGCCAGGCACCAAGGCAAGCGGCAGAGACAGGTGCCGCCGGGCAGCTGCGGTCGGATGACTCACCGAGTCCTTCAGCGCCTGGAACTCTGCCTGGACCTTGGGGTCAGGCGCGGAGCCCAACAGCACAAACTGGCCGCCGCGGTCGATGGTGCGATGGCACGCGTGCGCAATCAGATGGGTGCCTGCAGGGGCAGGGGCAGAGAGCCATGTGACAGCACCGTGGCAGGCACGGTGGCAAAAGCCAGCTCTGCTGCCACCTGCTACCCAAGGGCATCCTGCCAGTGCATCTCTGGCTGCATGATGCCAGCGGCACGCACTCACCCTTTTGCTTGGTGAGGCGCGACACCACGCCCACCATCGGCTTGTCGCCCCAGCCGCTCAGGTTGACCCTGCAGAGGCGGAAAAGCCAGGTCAGGAGCAGCGGGATAGCAGGAAGGTCGAAGGGCAGGCCGGGGAGGGGACCAGGCACGTCGCAGCAGGGCAGCACCCACCTCTTGCGAAGCTCCTCCCGTGCCGCCTTCTTGCCCTCCACCACAGTGTCGGCAGTGAATCCACGTGGAAGGTACTGCAGGAAACAACCACGGGACCAGGGAAGCGGTGCATTGGCAGCAGCAGCAGCAGCATACGGCACCAGCAACTGCGTCCGGACATCCGCTTGCTTCTGCACCCATCCACCCGGCCACCCACCTGGTCCGTCTCCGGGTCCCAGATGTCGATGTCAATGCCGTTGCGCACACCACGCAGCTTGCTGACGTTGGGCGCGATGGCAGGGTGGCCACCAATCTGCAGCGCGTGTTGAGCGGGCAGGCGCCTCGCAGCAATCAGCCACACAAGTGCCATAACAAGGCACCCAGTGAGCTCAGGGCACAGGCCAAGCAGCGCGCCAGCATCAAAAGCAAAGCGAGCAGCTGTCGCCTGGGCTGCGCTTCTGCCCGCAGCCCGCCGCTGTCGCACCTCCCACGCGTACGACGGCGACACGGTGGTGAAGCGCTGCGAGTAGTAGGCCGCCTCCCCCAGCTTGATCTGGCCAAAGTCCATATTGTGGATGGTGAGCACCTGCGGGTGGAGAGGTGCGGTGCGCCAGGGGCGAAGGGAGAAGGGGTGAGCGGGGCAGGCAGAGGCAGCAGCAAGGCTGCGAGCTGCGGCAGGAGCGGGCAGGCAGCGAGGTGGCCCGCCAGCACGTCCCACTCTGCCTGCCTGCCCTGCACCAGGGGCCGGCCCCCCACACACACTCACCACGTTGGGCTTCCACAGCCCAAACTGGTGGTAGTCCTGCCAGTAGGCGCGCGCCACCTCCGCGCTGGACCAGTCGTGGCAGTGCAGGATGTCGGGCTGGCGCCCCGAGCGCAGCAGGAACTCCAGGGCGGCCTTGGAGAAGAAGTCAAAGCGCTGGCCGTCGTTCTGCCCCGCGTACACGGGGCCAGAGAACATGCCGTTGCGGGGCTCGATGAAGAAGCAGCGCAGCCTGCAGGGGGGGGCGAGGGGTGGGGCAGGTCGGGGTGGGGGACCCGGGTGGGCGCCAGCGCGTCGAGGCAGCGATGCAGCAGGGCTCCACCTCGGCGGCGGCAAGGCGAGCGGTGCGCCGTGCTGTCGCCCTGCACCCAGCCGGCGTCTGTGCTCTCAGCTGGCTCACCCCTCCACAATGCAGGTGGACACAAAGATCTTGGTGCCGCCCCAGTCAAACTCCGTCTCGTACTGCAGGGGGGAGACAGGCAGGGGTGGGCAGCGTGTGAGCGGCGGCTTGCAGCGCAATGTCTGGTGTGGCCTGACAGCACATGGCAGGCATGGCAGCGCACGCCAGGCGGCCGTGCAGCGCGCTGCAGCGGCACGACGCGGGTGAGGTGGCGCCTGGGACCCCACCTGAGTGCCTCCAAGCAACGGCGACTGCTGGAAGAAGTCGTACCTGCACGCAGGGGCGGCGGCGGCGGCAGCGCGGCGGCGGCATGGTGAGGCAGCAAGCGGCTGCAGCAGCAGCAGAACGCGATCTCCGCTGCAGCCCGCCGCGCGCTACTGCGCTGGCGGCTGCGACGTGCCGGGCGCCCGCGCCCGCCCAACTGGCCAGCAATGGAGGCAAGGGGCAGGGAGGCCAGGGGGCCGCCGCCCTCACCTGGGCAGGATGACCTCCACCTGGTGCCCCTGGTCCTGCACCGCCCGCCCCAGGGACGTCACCACATCGCCCAGGCCGCCAACCTGCGGGCAGCGCCAGAGGGGCAGCACAGCAGCGGTCGGGTGGGTGGCAGGTGGCGCGGCAGAGCCTGGCGGCGGCTCAGTCGGCGGGGCGGGGCTCGGCGCAGCACAACACAGCGAGTGCCGCCCGCCCGGCGCCCGCGCGCACCTTGCAGATGGGTGCCATCTCCACGGCGATGTGCACCACATGGAGCGGTGGCTCCATCAGCACTGCAGCAAGGGGGAGCAAGAGTGCCAGGGTGGCAGGGGGGCAGGGTGAGGACCAGAGATGCGCGGAGCCAGCAGGTGTGCACGCACGCCTGCGCCTGCCTGGCGCGTGCAGCCCCAAAAGGCTCCCACCCACCCCGACCTGGCTGCGCCCGCCCCACGGCCGCTAACTGCTCTTTCACTGCCGCTGCCCTCTGCCGGCGTGCCCCGCCCCGTGCGCGCCCCCTGCCGCCTCACCCGAGCCCTGCACCCGCACGTGGAAGTCTAGGCCGTAGTTGGAGTCGTACTCGCCGTGTTCGGGGGCGTCGCTGCAGGGGGCGGGCGTGGGGTGGGGGTGGGGATGGTTGGGTGGGGGGCAGCAGGCGGGCGAGGCCAGGCCGAGGCAGAAGGGGGGAAGCGGGGGGGTGGCTGGGTGGGGAATAGCAATTGAAAAGCAAGCAGGCGAGGCCGGGGTGAGCCACAGGCCGCCGCAGCTCCGCAATCAGCGACCCGCGCTGCCAGCCAGGTCCCTGGCCTGCCGCGCACGCCGGCGGACGGCGCGCCGGCGGTGCCCGGCGGGGGCGGACGCCTGCCCAGGCTGCTGCTGCTGCTGCAGGAAACAGCGCAGGCACAGGCGCAGGCGCAGGGGCAGGGGCAGGGGCAGGTGGGCGTGTGTGGCTCACGTGAAGACAAAGTCGAGGTAGTAGGCATCCTTGGGCACGGTGACGGTGACCTGCGGGCAGCGCACCGGGCGGCGGAGGAGCGGTACAGCGGTCAGCGCCAGGCAGTGCGCTGGTCACCGGCGCAGCAGTGTGCGGAGTGGGAAAGGGAGGCGGTACGGGTGGTACCACCCACCGAGTGGTGGTCCCCCTCCTTGGGTGGGTCCATCTCCAGCGGCCCAAAGGCCTTGGGGTGCCGCCACCGGTTCCACCCGCCCCTGCACCCAGGCACAGCAGGCACAGCGGGCGCAGCAGGCAGGCGGTGAGCAAAGCGCACACCCAGCGGCTGGCCGCCGCAGCCGGGCGGCCAGCGGCACAGCCAGCCCCAGCCGATGCTGTGCAGACCCCAGCCAGGCAGATGCAGCGGCAGCCGCCGCGGCAGCGCCCCCGCAGCGCCTCACTTGATCCAGATGTGCTGGCGCCCCGGCAGGCCGCCGTTGTTGGGATTGTAGTACACGGTCACGTCCTGGCCCGCCTGCGGGGGCGGCAGGCAGGCGCGGGGCAGGCAGCCAGGCAGCAGGGTGGGAGGCGGGGCCGCACAGCCTCTCACCCGCCGGCGATGGCGGCGGCAGTTGTCCAGCCAAGCGCCTTCCACGCCACAGCCCCACCCCACCCCAACCCACCCCACTCGCCTCTCCGCCCACCTGCGGGACCTCCGGCACCGTGAACAGCACGTGCTTCTGCTGCTTGCGCCGCACCGCCTCCGCCTTGGCCTGCGCCGCGCGCCGCTTGGCCTTGCGCTCCGCCTCCACCACCGCCGCCGCCGCCTCCTCCTCCAGCCGCTTGCGGGTGATGGCGTTCTTGACCTGGAGGGAGGGAAGGCGGGGAGGTGGAGGGGATGGGGGGCGTCAAAAGTGGGGCGCCGGCAAAGGCAGGGGCGGGGTGTGCAGCCGGCAGCGGTCGGGCGGCAGGCAGCACCCAGCAAGGCAGGCAGCCCCCAAGGCAGGAGCGGCTTCCCCCTAGCGCCAGCTCTCCACCGCGCAGGCGCCCCCCTCACATCTCTCAGCATGCTGTCCGCCCAGCTCTCCACCGTGTGCTTGGAGGGAAGGTCAACCAGCACCTGCACAGGGGGGGGGGAGTGTGAGGGGGGGGGGAGGGCGGGGGAGAGCTGGCGCTAGGGGGAAGCCGGTCCTGCCTTGGGGGCTGCCTGCCTTGCTGGGTGCTGCCTGCCGGCCGACCGCTGCCGGG